CCAACAACACGGCGCTTGCTAGCTCGACTTACTGGGACGCTATCACTCGCCAAGGCCGGTGCCAGAACTCCCACCACAGACCAATGGTGTGAACGGATCTCTTCGATCAGACATCTCCATCAGACCGAGGCACCGAGTGTATACCCCTGCCCAGATCGCCAGCCAAGCCGTCGGATATCCTCAAGCAGAAGTCCGCTTTTTCTCTCGCAGCCAAGGATCTGCCACGAGGAGCGGGCGAAATGTTGTGGTACCCACGACACATGCTCAGCGGTTCGGTAGCGTCGGGCATCCACCAAAATCTCAAGGCTGTACTTGTACGTGGTATGCCGCGAATGCCACGAGGGGGATCATACCGGCAAGGGCTTTGTGGCAAACTCTGCCTTCCTTCAATGCTTTTTCTGATGGCAGAAAAGACCTAAATCTCATTCGGTCGGGTGAGTCGTAAAATCGAATAAGCTTCTTAAGTGACGCTTCCATGACATGATGAGATGTCTCTCGTTCGCTCGTTCGATGTGTGGTCGACCGCTGATCGTGGGCGCATTTTGACATGGTGTAGAGCGAGTTACAACAGGGTGGGTCAGTCGTCAGCCTGGTACAGGTACTTTCATCCTTGGCTCGGCCGTTCTCTCGCCTGCGCCGAGAAGGGTCAGTCATGCCTCGACTGCGAGGCACCTGGTCTGACCTGACCTGCGAAAACGGTACGTTGCGTATTTCTTGCTTGGCCGAAGCTCGGCAACGGCGGGTGATTTGTGTCAATCATGTCTACCTGCCAACGTAAACCGCCTCTCGAATTGAACGCGAGGTGGTCCATCACGAGGTTGTGCGGAGGCAACTGTGTCACGAATTGTTGTGTTCGTCAGAGAACGCGGTGGTCCAGGCTGGCCATAGCTTCAAAAGGGCCACATCTTCTATCGCAGCCTTCTAGAATAGAAATAATGGAGTCGACTGATCCCGCAAAAGGGTTCGATGGAGTATTGGCCCCCCCCCTCCCCCCCCCAATTGCAGGTACACCCGTTGGACCATCATCGTCCCACAACAGTTGGCGTTAACAGGAGGGTCTCCCGTCAAAAACGCATCGACCCCTCCTTGCCCTCGCACTGCCGTTCGAAGCCCTGCAGTGGTTCGGCGCCACCAGACCAGGATGTCGGCGGCTGTCGGTGGGGGTTAGCACCCGCAAACGGATTCACAGTTCGTAACGCGGAAACGCGTTTAGTTTCGCTGGCCTAGTACAAGTATTCGCGAAGTGTTGTGTGGATGGGATATCGGCGTTGTTAGCGAAGCAGCCTAAACGGCGTCCCTGCGTGTAGTCAGAATGCAAATGTCATGAGCATCATTCATACTGGATTGCGTCTTGAAGAGACTCGTGCCATATACATGTACAGAGTGCCCGACTTCGATCGATCCAGCGCGCGTTCGTGGGGGGCATTTCTTGGGGGCCTGCTCCTCACCAGGGACCATCCGCAAGCCCCTGGCCAACATACCCTGTCACGCTGGCAGCAAGGTTGCCTGTGAGGTAGCATCAGACCAGATGCAACCATCAAGCCTGTTGAACACGCGCACCCAGTCCCTTCCCCTCCAATTTGCCAGCCACTGCTTAATATTCAGACGGTAGAGTAGGCACGCGTGTCGCGGTCAGCAAGACGGAAGTGCGGGAAGACGGCAAAGCGGCGCTACTGGACGCGAGTGAGCTCGAGAATATATCGGAAGCAAGGTACCGTGTTTTGCTTGACTCGGTCTGGCCGCGCTTGATTGCCCGATCAACTCGCGTTCCTGCAAAAGGTACTGTCGTGCCAGTGCGTAATGCTGTGCATACCAACTACGACACCCATGGCATTCAAGCTCTTACTTGCTTCATCTTGTCGAGGGTTTCGGTGGATTATCCCCTTCCTTGCTACATGGTACTTGCAAAGCAGGACCTCGTCAAAT